AGTTCCACCCCCCTGAGCTCCTGGTGCTTCCTGGGCTCATCCCTGATCAGGGGGAGGAGGGCAGGGTCAGGGGCCATACTGCTGGGAGCCCGCTGGGGAGCAGGGGCTGACCGAGCTTTGTGCCCAGGGGTGGCCACGCGGCACCTGAGGAACCGAAGCAAAGAGCAGCTGGATGAGATCTGCAGTGGTGAGTGGGGAACATTGGCTGGAGGGGACGTCTGGGGGTCTCTGCAGACACAGGGCTTCATCTCAGCTCCGTTTCTTTTGCTCACAGCCCTTCAGCCCTTGAAGACAGACAGCAATGTAGTCATCTCTTCCCTGGCAGAACAGACCATTCGCATCCTGGAGGCTTTAGGACCAACACCAAGCCCTCGATTTAGGCCAGAAGCACTGCTCTTCTGGCGCCGACGTCCACACCCATGAGGAGCTTCCAACATTCCCAGCCTCCCAGGCGCTGTGTGAGACATCTGAGCTGGTGAGCAGGGTGGCGTCAGGGACAGCCATGGTGGCATCCAGGGCTCTGGGGCTGTGGGTGAGGTGATGGCTTGGCGTGGGCTGGGAGGCAGATGTTTCGGGGACTGCTGCCAAGTGCCTTGATGCCATGTTGTGGCCTGGTGGCTGCCTGGGGAGGTTTCCAGGCATAGATCTTATCACAAAACAGAAACTCTGTCCTTCATACTGGCAGGAAAACTGGAGCTCCTGATGCCACACAAGATGGAGCTCCTGTGTCTTGGCAGTGAAGACTCCTGGACAGAGGTTGTGATGGTCCCTAAAAACCTGATGTGTCCAAACCTGAAGAAGACAAAGGCCAGCCCAGCCACTGAGGATCTGGTGGAGAACCTCTTACGCTTCCTTGACATGGTAAGGCTGATGTGGGAGTGTGAGCCCTGAGATGGGCACTGGGCAGTGAGAGCTGCCCTGCACCCAGGCCTGTCCGCAGCTCTGGCAGCAGGCTCTGCTCCCCTGGGCTCTGGTGGCTTCTGGGCCTTGCAGGCCAGTGCAACTTGTCCCTGCTCTGGAATCTGAGCCCAGGGCATCTCCCTCAGCCACCATCCCCACTCCCTTTCATTGTGGGCAGGGGGCCACTGTTTCCAAAGCTCACCTTTCCTCCTTCCTCCCAGGAGAGCAGAGACATGCAGAATTTTTCCATCTGCCTCTTCAGAGACCACCTGGGCTCAGCAGTGCTGAGGAAGCAGAAGCAGTTGAAGACGTCTCTGCCAAGTTGTCATGGTTTGACTGACCCTGTCTCCCTGGAGCTGGAAAATGGGCACCTGAGGAACTGAAGCACAGTGCAACTGGATGAGATCTGCAGTGGTGAGTGGGGAACATGGGCTGGAGGGATGTCTGGAGTTTCATCTTCGCTCTGTTTTTTTTCTTACAGCCTATCAGCCCTTGAAGGCAGACAGCAGTGAAGTCGTCTCTTGCCTGGAAGAACAGACCATCTGCATCCTGGCGGCTTTAGGACCAACACCAAGCCCTCAATTCAGACCAGAAGCTCTTCAAGCACTGATGTCCACACCCATGAGGACCTTCCAACATTCCTAGGCTCCCAGGCGCTGTGTGAGACACCTGAGCTGGTGAGCAGGGTGGTGTCAGGGACAGCCTTGGTGTCATCCAGGGCTCTGGGGCTGTGGGTAAGGCGGTGGCTTGGCGTGGGCTGGGAGGCAGATGTTTCGGGGACTGCTGCCAACTGCCCTGATGCCATGTTGGGGCCTGGTGGCTGCCTGAGGATCTTTCCAGGCATGGATCTTATCACAAAAAAGAAACTCTCTCTTTCATACAGGCAGGAAAACTGGAATGCTGATACCTTCAAATCTTCAGCAAAAACCATCATTCAAACTATGAGCACTGCTCTTCTGTTGCCACTGAGCCAGTTGTAGGTGGCTATGATTTAATAAAGCAGCAACAATGGGCCCAAATCCATGGTGTCCTTCAGATGCACTGCATCCTGAGCAGACTGCGTCCTGTTTGTCCTGTCCTGCTGCCTGCAGGACAACTTCCCCCTTGGCACTCCACCAGCCCCAGCCTTGTTTTCGAAGTGAGCCCTGCTTTCCCAAAAGGTCCTGGCCCCCACACATCGCTTCTTTCACCCCCCCCCAATGGGTTTGGTAGAAGCAGTTACAGATATCCTGAACCAGAAAATTTCCTTGTCCACAATGGTGCACACAAGTAGCTAATAAGGGAGCTAAACTGGGTGGTGATGGGAGAGATTTTAGTTTGCTGTGGCTTTGCTTTCCCTCCCCCATATCCTGTAGGCAGGAAGATTCAAAGCAAGGGATGAGAGGGATTTGTTTGCTCTCCCCCCGTACCTGTAGAATACAAGACAATAAAGGGCGTTCTGTGGTCAGTTGTTGTGTCCAGTCAATTTGCAGCTCGCCTGTGGATCTGAAGCATCCGCGGCCACGCCTGACAGGAACATTATTTGGTGTTTGGGGTAAAAAAAAAATTAGTTGTGCGATCCGGCTGCCTGCAGGTACAATACATGATGGCATTGGGGTCCACGTCATTATCTTTATTTCCCCCTCAAAATCTGCATCTATCACTCCTGGCAACACAAAAAGGCCTTTTAAAGTGATAGATGATCTGCCAGTTAAGTAAGGTTGCTTTGCCGTGGCCCAGAGGGCCATGTGTAGCAGTCGGTAGCAGGGCAACTGTTGTATCCTGCAGTGTTGCTTCTGCAGAGGTGGCCAGGTCCACTCCGGCACTGCCGGCTGTGCTTGCACACAGGCTGTGGCAGGTTCGCGAGGGGTCCAGGCAGGGGTTGGATTTATTGTCATAGCGCGTCCCCTTCCCATGCTCCGTTTGGAGTTTCCCTGAGGGGGAAGCGATAACCCATAGTGATCAAGCTTAGAGCAGCACTGATTTGCAAACTGATTCCCTTTGTGACAACGTGGACAGACACCCGGCACCACTCTCCTTTTGTTTATCCTGTCATTTGGGCAATTCCTGTGCAAGTGACCCAACTGGCCACAAGAAAAACATTGTGGATTTTTTGTGGACATTGCTGCAAATGCTTCAACTATCAGAGATAAATCATACTGCCTTGAACCAACATTCATGCATGCATTTAGCATGTCATCCACTGTAGGATTTTTTAGGGGACGTAAAACCTTCTGACAGTCGGGGTTTGCATTTTCTATAGCAAACTGTTTAAAAAGGCATTGGCGTGCAGCATCATTCTCTACTTGTTTTTCCAAAGCATCATTAAGACGATCTAAAAACTTCCTAAAGGGCTCATTTGCCTCTCGTTTGATATGGGTAAAGGGCATTCTCTGTGTGCCTGCGTCCAGGACGCTTTTAAGAGCGCATAGGTCTAGTTGCTTTATTTGCTGGAGCCCTGCAGCACATGTTCGTGCTTGTACTGCCTGAGAAGAATGCTCACCCTGCCCCAGCAAACACCTACAGTAACAGTTCGCAAAGGGTTTCGTGTTCCTGCAACTGAATTTGCAATCGCCTGTTTTTCTGCTAATTATTTCAGTCTGGCTTCTCACATTGTGTACTGCATATCAGTCATTATTAGACAAAATAGTGTTTTGAAATCGTGGGGGATGAACACTTGGCTATCACAGATGGATTCTATTAAATGGATGGTGTACAAAGCCCCCAAACCGTGGTCTGTTACTGTTCGCCTTACATCTTTAATAAGAGCATATGACAGACCCTCCCAGTGAGGGTCCTGGTCAGGCGAGACCAGGACTGGGAAAGCTTTTAAGACTGCCGTGTCCCCTGCTAGTCTCGCCTCCCCCCGCACTTGTCAGGCAAGTCAGGAGAGTGAAAGGTTAAATCTTTTTTCTTATCTGTGAGTTCTGGGTCCTCCTCGGAGTCATCTGACCGAGAAACTGGTGCTGTGGCAGCGGAACCACAGAAGAGAAGTCCACGTGAATGTGGTGTGGAGGAGGAGGCCTTTGTTTCTGGCCACGCTGCAGGCTGTGCCTTAGGTGGCCGCAGCGATGCTGGCAATGAAGGCGGCTCTGGCGACACGAAAGGCAACACGGGAGATTGCGGTTGGGGTGGGTCATGGGGCAGGGGTGGCACACAAAATTTCAGCTCCTTCTGTGAGAGTGGCTCAGAATTAGTTGTCGTTTTTACACGGTTGTCTGCGGAGCTGGAGTGAGCTTGCAAAGCTTCGTAAACTGCTCTCCATGTTGTTAATAAAGAGGTTGCTATCTTATCGCCTAGCGTGGTGCTGTCCCATGGTCTGACATCGATATCATCCCAAACTCTACAGTCATATGCTAAGTCACTGTTTAATGTGGGATTAGCTTTGGATGCCCACAAAAGGAGACATTCTAAATTTTCTTCCTGTACTGTTTTCTCATATTTTTTAAGGATTTCAGCAAAGGCTTGTGAGACTGCCTTATGCTTTTTTGTTAAAGGGTTTCCCATTTCATTCTCAGCTGCTCACCTTATCATCCAGCGTAAGGTAATTGAGAGCTCTCTTGTCGCTTCCTTTCAGTGCTTTTTCCTTCCTTGTGTTCAGCTGAGCTACACCACTGGAGAAACAGCTTAATTTCTTTCATGCCCCAACATGGGGCACCATTTGTGGTGTATTGAGGCACGGACTCAGGGGGGTGAAACTGAGACTAGTTTATTGGAGTTGCAGCCCTCCTTTTATAACCCAACACCAACAGATAATCATACCTTATAAGGTAAACCCTGTGACTGCAGCATTTGACTGGCTGCCAGCTGTCATGGCAGTTCAAACGGCGGTGGCAGTTGAAACAGGAGTTGAAATGGCAGTTTTAGTAGTTGCAGCTCACCCCTGTAATGAGCTGCTCCATTCTCCACAAAGCTACGGTTTTTTCTACACCCTAATTCCCACAGTGCTGTCCTTTGCATGCTGATAAACAAAGCAGTTGGCTTTTTCCCCTGGAGACTGAAAGTGTCA